GTATACACAGCTCTAAACTCATGAATTTGCACATATTATATATAAAGGGCTTTATACACATTAATCATACATCAGTGAAGTAGTTTATAAAGTCTTCATTTCATCACAGTGGATCATTTTCATTTTGGGGTGAAGAGTATGGGATACTCATGAAGAGATAAGTAGAAGGCTGTACACTATCTTTTCTATAGCTAAAGTATTCTAAAAATGAAATTTTAATCTGATTTTACCAATAGTTCTGACATTTTACACTTTTTAAAAACTTCTAATAGTTTTTCCCCTGTATATTTCCACGTCAACTCAAGAAATTAACTATATCACGAGTTAAACAATCTCCTGTCCAATGACGCTTTATGTTTCCTCCAGAGTTTATTAGCAGGCAATGAAATTCCAACAAGTAAAATTGAGGGTATGATTAAAACAGTGCTTTAAATTAAACAGTTTTTCTAATTCATTTCATAGCACAATAGACATACAGAAATGTTGGTAATAATGTTTAGCCATTACATATTGTATTACAAGTAAAAATATTAATGCTGTAATGTGGAAGTAAGAACCTTCACTCTTTGAAGGAAAAATCTCACAAATAAAATGAATATCTACCTCCCCCAAATTAGAAATTTGGCTATAAATGATGAAACTTTAGCTCTAGATTAGTATATTCAAATTCAGACCAAAATATCCAAGGTAGACATCTTAAAAACTTAATTATTTAGAAAATCAGTATCTTTTAAAAAAAAGATAATGTGTATCCTATTGTCACATATAAAAGCAACCCTATCATGTTCTTACTCTATAAAAAGATTCCTTAATTAATAAGAACTTACAAATATCATAGTTTTTAAAATGTACTCTTGTGGGACATTGTAGACTTTAGGGAAAGAACATGCAGTGTAGGGGGTCTGAGGAGAAATTATCAGCAGGAAGAAAGGGGATAGCTGGAGCTTTCTGTATTCATTAATGTGTGTATGAGCCTCAGCAGCTGTCCCCTCAGGTCAGGAATCTAGAACCTTCGCTCCATATGGGACTCAACTGAGGTATCAGTGAATTGAACAAGCTAAGAAAACCTCCCAAAGGTGAAATTTCTGAGGTGAAGAAAGGATTTATTTATTTGTGAAATGAACAGATTGTTTCATACAAATATATTTTTGTACCACTGATATTTGTAATTCTTATAAATGTGATTATTATCAAACTAATTACATCCTGTGTAAAACCACTAATGAGAGGTTGGCATCAATGAAACTGAGGGAAAACACAAAAGGGTTTAAATTTTCATTGCACATGAGCATTACCACAACCAAAAAGGACTCTCAACAATAGAATTTCACATCCAGCTCACAGTACAGCACTTGGGGGCTTTCCACATTAAGGTATTACCCAGCTGTAGAAAATAAGTGTTCAAACAACAACAGATGAGCTTAGAAAGATCATCAGATTTAGTTCCGATGTGGGAAAAGACATGGTTTCCAGAGGCACATTCATTAACAGGAAGCAGAGAATTCCTTGAAAGCCTAGCAGAGGAGAGAAGCCCACTGTTGAGCGTGGCTTTCCCCTGCCCACATCTCTGCTCTTACTAGATGCTGAATTGCTTTAGAATCACATCATAGTAGGCTTGGGCTCAGTAATCCACCTAATTAATGAAAGCCTATTCAGCAGAACATTCTTTATTACTTTTTAATCTTTTTTTCTTCCATTGGCTCCTGCTCCCAACAGAACATGTTTCAACATCAGTCCTGGTTCTATTTTCTCCTCAGTAGCTTAGCATAATAAGCCTGGACTTGGCAGTCAAGTTTATTCACTGCCAGGCTAAGTTTGGGGAAAGTGACTATAATTGGAAAAACAAAGGTGAGCGGACAGTGCCTCTACTCAGTCCCTGCTGAGCCACCCACATCAGCACAGGTGCATGGGTGATTCCCAGGTGACACAGGATCACTGGAAGGTACAACACTCACATGATCACATCCATCCCCCTGCCTGCCTATCCAACAAAAACACATGGAAGCCCACCCTGTACAGGTATAAAACTCAAATAATCCCTCTTCTCACAATGTTTCCTTTTTCCTTTCCTTTTGATCAAAAAAATAAACTGAGATTTCTGCCATGTAATATTAGAGTTAATTTGTATGCTGATTCAGTATGAATGAAACTGCAATCCATTGGCCATCCCATTTAAGCCACTGGCTAGATATCAGGCTGAGCAGCCTCTTTCAAGCTTCACACACAGCTATCATGAGATCCCCAGGGATCACTAGGCTTAGGAATCTCAAGCCATCTTCAGAAAAGGTGATTTCAGTGAAACCAGTCATGTCTCACTCTGAATGTACTGGACACTGTAATGACTGAAGCCATTTTTAATTCTTGGGGCCAGTAGACTCATAATTGTAAACACTCTTGGAATAAGCTGTAACAGTCCAGACAGAAGATTTCAGAAGGCCTGGGGCCTCACTTGCTTGGCTAGGGTACTGATAAAATGACTAAATTACTGTCTTCACTTTATGCATTAAGGGGATAAGAATACATATGACCAAATTATTGAAAATACAGGCCAGAATGAAAAGAGAGTCATGGTTAAGTGTAGAAGTCTGATACATTTGAAATAAAACCACAGCTCTGGCACTAAATACCTGTTTGAAAATGACTGGTTTTAAACCTGTTCTTTGCTTTGGTTTTCTCTTTTGGAAAATTAAAGACAATAATACACACATCACAGAATGACTATGAAGATCAAAAAGAATCATCCGCATCAAGCTTTACTGTCCAATACACGTGAACAACAAAACCCTTTGCAGTTATAGAATTTCTTGTGGAAGGAATAAGGTTATAAAGCTTGTACTCTAATATACTGCAAAGATCAAGAGACCAGATAGAAGGAAAAGTATTTTGATTTCCTAAAAGAAAAATAGTATATACTTGTATAACATGGTTGGGATTATAATCAAGTTTATTATTAGCACACACAGATGGCTCTGGGGCTCTCTCTGGTCATTGGATTCATGGCTCCAATCCATGTAAGGATCATCTCACGGACAGGTAACCATAGCACCACAGGAGACAGTGGGACAGGAAAGGGCAAGGAGGAAGGACACCTTACACTCACTCTTCAAGAACTACACATTCAGTAAACCCTTCAGGACTGTAGGTTGCATTGTAAGAATCCCAAACTCTGTGCTACATACTTCATTTAAGCCTTAAATTCTTTTTTTCTTTGTTTTGACAGTTGAAGTGCCCCTTGAATGTTTAGCTATTCCATGAAAACTGCCTATGCCCTGAACTCAGTTCCTAATGCGGAGATGAAAGCCTGACAGGCTGGAAAGGTTGCCCTGAAGTCCTATACAGCCCTTGGAGAGAAATTGAGAATGAAGAAAGAAAACAATCTGCATCTCTCCTGACTTCATCCCTCCAGAACTAACCCTCGCCTCCCAGGGTGATTGTGCGAGGGTGATAATTAGGATTTGCTACAAGATGGACACCTGCCAACTCGATCTCATAATCAGCCTTCCTGCACTTCTGTTTCTTTTATGCAACTATCCCTATTTCAGGAGCTGAAAATAATGAGAAAAGAGGTGGAGAAAGTAGATAGCAGACCATATTAGACAGCTGCTTCCCTTCAGGAGGCCCAATCGCAAATTCTGGTGGTTATTGGTGAGAAAGTGACAAGTGATTTTAAACTCTCCTCAGTACATCAATTTTTCTAGCTGATTGTTAATGACATTCCCATGGATAATGCTATTGGGAATGAAAAGTTGTTTTAAAACAAGTTTCCAACTTATGACCATCAGAAACAGATTCTTGATGCAATTGAGAAAAAGGCTTCCAGCAAAATATCATTAAGTTTTGGGAGTTTTTCAGGGCGACTATACATTGGCACAAATCAGCTCAGTAGTTCCTGAAGTGCGATAACCATCGCATTTCTAATAGTTACCATTATTTCATGTAGCACATGGGTGAAATGTTACAGAATGGTCATGCATTCATTTTAATACTTCAGAAAAATTTGGCTGTCCATCAAGCCTACGGTTTCATAAGTACTGTTTGTTAGGATGCGGCTGCAATAAAAAGTTGATTCACAGAAAATATTAAGTAAACATATTATGCATACAATAGTGCAGCTGCTAGTGGACACAGAGGGAACATCAAAAGATGACACTTCAATAATTCAGAAGGAGAAACCTGCTTTCAGCCCCTCTTCTAAAGACCCCTGTGAATGCTGCAAGAATGTGTCTCCTCACTTCAGTTCTAGGAAAACAGCTGCACTTAAACCCTTTCATTCATTAAGGTGACCTTATTGCATAAGCTCTTTTAGGAGAGCAGACAAAAACAGAAGGGACGTGATGTTCGGGTAGGAGACAAAGGATTAGTAGAGTACAACAGTTTTACGGTAGTAGTAGCTAAAGAAAATGGGTTCAGAATGTTCTTTTTTAATAGAGAGGTCTTTTAGATGAAGGTTGTTCATAGATAGATTGATAGAGAGAGAGAGAGAGAGAGAGAGAGAGAGAGAGAGAGAGGTATTATCCCTCATAAAATAGATACTTAATAAACACCCCTATAATAGATTATGTTTGAAAAAATGAGTATTTATATTCTAATTTATGAGAATTGCAAAACAATTTCAACAGCAAAACTTCACACTTAGGTGCTTGTCGGGAACCACTCAAACTGCTTCAAAGCTCAGGGGCATCTAAGGACACTTGAGGATGTGACCCCATTTGCCTAGCACAGTCACGCAGTAGGATACAGTTATGTAACCATGACAGCACAGGTAAGCATGCACACACTGGTTATGGCACTATGCAAGAATGTAAATGCAAGATAACAATCTATATAAGAATTATACAATAAAGACACAGGTGGCTCACGTGCTCTGCTTGCTCCATGCTGTTGGTGCTGATGTGCTGCACATGTGTTCTTGAAGCTTGAGACAGAACTCTTAAAAATCTCCCGTGGGCTCCCAAGTGGGCCAAAAGTGCCAGAAAACTGAATTAGAAAAGGACACCTACCTTGGGCCCAATGGTTACGTGGAATAGTATATTTTGGAAGGAGTGTCCATCACTGGCCTGGAGAACCATGACATCGGCTGTGCTGTTAGAGCCATCATGAACATAGAGAAGGCCCCTGGAGAGTTCATCCAGCCGGAACTGAGAGATGGAGGCTGCAGGGGACTGAAGCACGTGGAGCAACTGGCCATGGCGTGGAGAATCAAGCACTTCCACCACCACATCCTGTGGGTTGTCGTCATCCCGGATGTCAAGCAGCTGGGTGGTGATTGTTTCCTGCTCTCCGCGGCTAATGTGGAGACCCTCATTTCTCAGCACATACGGGGCCTGTGGAGTAGAAGGGAAAGGGGTAGGGAAAAATCACAAGGACTGAAAAACTGACTGACCTTTGGTGGCCTTTAAGGAAGCCCTGGTGCCCCAGCAACATGCTGACCTGTTCCAGGGCAGCACACCTGACACAGGGGCAACTCTGGGACCATGGTGCTTTTGGTTACTTCACACCTCGAGGTTCTAGCAGTTTTTTTTAAGCCATTTCAAGGCCACATTCTTGGTAGGAGGTAATCACTAAGAGCCACTGCTTCTAATTTCTCTGCTATCTTGATTTGTACTATGTCCCTGCACTGAAAGACAAACCAGAGGTATAGAATTTGGGGACCTGCATTTGGGAATTAGGCTCTTCACTTTAGGCCACACTGCAACACACTGATAGAGTAAGAGGCTTGTATATAGGAAATTCAGGTTATTTCTGGTCTCTTCTGGCCAATACTTTTCTTCAAGTTCTCTCATCGAAATCCTGACAGAGCACCACCCCAACTCAGCTCATAAGGCGTAACAAGATCATGGCCTAGGTGGGAAAACCACCTAGCTAAGTCTTCTGACATTGCTCTTATATCAAATTTTGTAAGTTTTTCTTGGCATCGTCAAGTTTCTTCCACCCACTTGAGTAAGCAGATAAAATGTTCTTCATAAAGATAAAAGTTAATGAACCACAACAGAAACACAACACATGCAACATGAAGCCAGATGCCAGAAGCCAAATAAATATTATCTTTGGTGTTTTTTAAAAATATCACTTGAAGCTGGACCATCTAGAACTTTCCCAGCACACTTCCTTCTTTAACCCAACCAGCTTTCTTTCACAGCTACCCAGACTCTTATGTGCTGCAATTTACAATCTCCATTAAGATCAAGCCTACCCAGGGCATCACTATAACAACCACATGGTGAGAAATTATGGAGCAGTGCCTCAGACTTCGTGTGTGGAAATGCTACCGCTATGAGTCTATACAAATGAATAAAAAGACCAGATTCTGAAAGAGGAAAGAAAGGTCAAATGTGATATCAACATCTACAAATGGAAAAAACAAAATTAACCTACCTGAGAAAAACCTCAGGGAGGCTTACGACTACTATACTGAAATTTAAATGAACAAAACTAAGCTGAATTTCATTTCTAAAGTTCCACTTTTAAGTAGTTAAAATACATATTTATCATGTAATATACATTCCTTACGTACCCATTCGATTGGGGGAAAACAAACTCAAGGGGCTATGGGAAGTCACCATCTCAGATTAGAAAGTAATCTGCCAATATCCACCCCCTGTCTTTCATGGGACTCAGTAGAGCAGTCCAAATGAAAAGATCAAAACAAAACATCTGAGTTTAAATACTAAGGAACATCTAAGCCTGTGAGTCCCAAGACTGTGTGGCACACATTTGCAGAAATCATACATGTTAACTTTAATCAAAACAAAATTTACACTTAAGATCAATTTCTTTTTTTAATGTACTTGGTTGTTACAGGGTCTCACTACGCAGCTTGGACTCATAGAGATCCTTCTGATTTTTTTTTTCTTTTAAATAATTTTACTGAAAAGAAGTAGCAATGAGATAGTTTAAAAACAGGTTAGTAGTACAGTTACCATAATGCACTGCATATTGTTGTCTTTGTAGTATTTATTCCTAGTACAAGGTGCAGACATGATCTCTTATCTAAACACGATTAGTTCAAAATTTTCCTCGGCACAAGGATTACAGGTCTGTGCCGCCACATCTGGCCTCGGTGGCCAGCTCAGCCTGCCTTGGGGGCAGGGCTGGCATGGCATGTGATGTGGGGGATCAAACCATGGTCCCTGCACTTGCCTAAGCAGACATTTTAGTCAGGTGAGCTATCTCGCCAGCCCCTAAACGATTAATTTCTAATCACTCCTGAATTCCAATTTCCAATCAGTAAGAAGGGCTGAGCTGGATTATTGATAGCATTTGGTAGCTGCTTCTGGTTTAAGTCTATGTTGTTATCCATGACCCATGGTCTTTTCATCTTTAGCACAGAAAATATCAGCGAAGAACAACAACTTAATATCTCTTCTTGAATCAAGACTAACACAGTGCTAAGGTCTGGACCGCCTGGTAATACTAGGTCCCTGGGCTGATGTCTCCATCTCTTGCTGTTCACAATTTATGAAAATACACATACTGTATGTCACACTGTGCCTTGAGCACACTACAGCTGTGCGATCCTTCCAGCCCCATTCTCCCCCTTCTGCTCTGTATTCTGGCCACATGAATAAAACTCAACAGAGAAGAGTGATGAAACAGGAATGTGAAGGGCCAGTACACTGAGTTTTATGGCTTCTTCCATGATTGCTCAGGTCTCTTTGGCTGATGACTACCCTGACAACTCATTCAGGCAGATTCTTAATAAGATCCTCTAACTACTACAAATTCTATACCACTGAGAGGAATTCAGGTAAAACAAACTTACCTACCTAAGAAAAAGGAAAATCTTAACAGCTTAAACAGCCTTAAATTACTCATAGGATGAATGTCCCATGTAGTATGTAGTATAGTAAGCCACAAAAGATAATGGCTTTGTGCACAGACTCTGAAGTCAAGTCTATGGGGCACAAGACTTGACCTTTACTAGCTATGCACCACCAAAAACGACATAACTTTCTTGTGTTTTAGTTTCCTCATCTATAGATTGGGATGTTTCTTAAGGCTGGCATAAGGGTCAACAGAGTAACTTATGGGAAACACTGAGGACTACAAACGCATGAGCAATTGTTATTGCTGATGTTGTTATTAATCCAAAGTACTGAAAATTGGATGTGTGGAATTTCCTGATAAAATTAAGACAAGCTGAACCTAGGTCAGGTATTTTTCCTAAAATTATAGTAAGCTTGGATTGTTTTCTTGAGAAAAAGTAGGCACATAAAACTTCACCTGTTTAGCATTTTATTACCTGGGTTGAAAATGCTTGTATGTTGATCAGCTGTGGTTCCGAGAAGAACTGCTGGTCACTAATCTTCAAGGAAAAGTAACCTTTTCTAAAGAAGTCAGGAAAGGAACAAGAAAATACTATCATTAAGTTAGTCTTCAGAAAGACAAGGTGTAAAAATATTTTTAGGGTATGTGCATGTAAACATGTGGATAAAGCCACTGTAGAAAGGTAATACTCACACTGTAAACAGAACTTACTAAAGATTAACATAGCAAGATGCAGATAAAATATAGTTGGGTGTTCTGAGATCTCACTATAACACAAAAATAAGTATTTTGCTTTCCTTTATCTTTTATGTATTTAGTACAGTGTCTACAGGGTTTTACTACACAGATCGGACTCGTAGTGATTCTCCTGTTTTCAGATCAAACTCCAGTCCCTGCTTCTGCCTAAGCAGGCGCTTTAATCTGCTGAGCTATCTCACCAGCCCTAAACTGAAGTTTTAAACTGAAAACTTAGTTGTCAGGACAAGGCAGGTTAGTGGCATAGTGCAGGCTGGTGTTCACATTGTAGAGTGGGATGGGATCTTTTAGTGTGACCAGCTCCCAAGGATCACTCCTGCTAGAAAGTCCTGCTGGCAACTCCTCCATTCACATGAAAGGCTGCAGGCAACACATCTGTAATGGCCATGTCACATGTCTCTATCTCTTCTCCTTACATCATTACACACATTCACTGTGGTAGAGACTAGGCAGGGATGGCTGATTCTCCTAAACAGCTGGACCTGGCCTAAGAGTCCGCTGTGAGTCTCACCATGTATGTCCAGAGCAATCAGAGAGTACCAAGCTGATGAGAAGATGGAAGGAGCCTGCAGGAACAGGAGGAGGTGAGTGAAGCCTTTGGGCAAGGAGACACAGGGATGAGAGAGGAACAGAGTCCTGCCTCTTGTCCAGTTCTAGCCTGTGGACTAGCCCCAGGGCACAATCACTCTTGCTGTCTTTGATGTCTGAGCTATCTCTGCAGTGTTTTAAAAACTATTTGCTTGATTTAATTCAAGTTCATTGCCACTATTTTGTAACTGAAAATTCCAAATTAATAATAATACAAGGCTCATTCCTTGCTGTGGGCTGACTTCCTTTAAAAGAGTGTTGCTCCTGCAGCTCAGAGAGTGTTAGAGGGGAAGGGGAGAACTCCTACCTTCAAAGTCAGGCTAAGCACAGAACTCAGTGTTGGCTCGTAAGATGAATGATTAATGCACGGTGCAGCTTTGGAGTTCTACTCTACTGCAAGGACCACTGTTTTAAAGGTTCTTTAAAAGGCATTGTTGGAACTAATATCTTATACCTGAAAGAACGTGGAATAATCTCAAAAGCATTATGGTAACTGCCAGAAACAAAAACTGAATATTGTGTGATTCCATTCACATGCCATTTCTGAAAGCACAGAACTATAGGGGTGAAAACTACACCAGTGGATGCCAGAGATTGGGTAGAAGGGAATAACTAAAAAGGAAACATTTGGGGGACTGGAATTGTTTTATATCTTGACTGTGTTGTGGTAAAGAAATAGTATATATTTGTTAACATTCACAGGGCAATATATTTTAGAGTAGGAAAATTTATTGAATGCAAATTATAGCTCAGTGCTATCACTTTTTAGAAGAGGTATCCTGTCTTTCCGCCCACTCCATCTTATTTCTGTCCCCATTTAATCCTCCTCCTCTCCACTCTCACCTTGAAGCTTCAAGAGAATGCAAACACAAAATGAACAAAGCAGGGGAAAAATGACTTCTGGTGGCACGGAGGTTCCACTACCAGTGCTCAACATCTCAGCAATGACAGCTTACCGCAAGCCTCTGACTATATTCACAGGCTGGCTTTTACTCCCCAGGGCATTCCAATGCCAAAGGAATTCAATCGTAAAGAATTCTAAGCTTAAAGAATCATGGTCAGTGTTTTAATGAGAAAAAAAAACAAAAC